AGAGGAGAGGAGAGGAGAGGAGAGGAGAGGAGAGGAGAGGAGAGGAGAGGAGAGGAGAGGAGAGGAGAGGAGAGGAGAGGAGAGGAGAGGAGAGGAGAGGAGAGGAGAGGAGACGAGAGAGGAGAGGAGACGAGAGGAGAGGAGACGAGAGGAGAGGAGAGGAGAGGAGCTCGTCCTTATTATCTCATTCGTCTCTCACCATGACGTTGGTCGGGTCGATCTTGGAGGCTCTAATCAAAACCTCCTCGGACTCGTCGGGGTAACCTTTCAGTGCAGGGGTCGGTTGTCAAACTCTCCGTTCTCAGCTCAGCTGGAGTGGGAGTGTCAAGAATCACCTGAGATCATCAAGATGGACGAGTAGCACAAGAGGACTTTGATATCGTCCATGTCAATCTGCCAGCTGACTTTCAGCACAGAGGAGCACAAAAAAAAGGTCACTGGCCCTCAGTGCTCTTTTCACGATGTCTAGAGCCATCTGACCGGCAGCTGTCAATCTGGCGAGCAGGACGGACAGCTCACCTCCAGCTGGGAAAGTAGGTGGCAGCTCACAGAGGCGGCTTCACAGAGGCAGGAGATAAAATCTGTCCGCTGCTTCTTGACGTCGGCGTCATCTGCAGCCTCTGACAACTCGAGGTTCCCAGCTTGCCGGTACAGCTGGGCGGTGGCTCGTCATTGTGACCTGCTGCCCCTCCTCTCACCTCCATCGCCTTGTCGACATCTTGCAACCTCGAGATGAGAATCTCAGAAGACAGTGGGAGGCAGCTGGGAAGAGAAAGAGAACAAGACAGCTTGCACAGCAAGAAGATGGAAGTGGTGATGAATGTGGAAGGGGAGAAAGAGAAGGACGAGAAAGGATCAAGGTAGACAATAAGCTCTGTTTTCTTTCTCGCTCTGACTTCCTCCCTCCCTCCCTCTACTGTCACACTTTCCCTTCCTCCTCCTGATTATCATTTCCATGTCCATCCTGTTCTCCTTTGTCCTCCCTCCCTTCTCTTTATCCTTCCTGTAATCCTCGTTCCATCTCCCTCCCTCCCGCACCTCCTCCTCGCCTCTCCCTCCCTCCCGCACCTCCTCCTCGCCTCCTCCTCCCTCACCTCCCGTAACAACTTCCCAGCCTGTAAGCACACATCGCACTCGTCGGGTACTGGGGGCAGTGAGCCTGGCGCGGAGATGCTGCAAGAGATGAGCTCACGTGTTGGTGGAGCGAAGTCAAGATTGAGATGGCAGCTTGCGGTTGATGATGATGAACCTCCTTGATCACTGCAAGAATGATTGTGAGTGTGAGAAACAAGCAGGTGGAGAGGAAGAAGGATGAAGAAGATGAATGGAGATGAAGAAGAAGAGAATGGTTAGAAGCAAGGTGGGAGAGAGAGGAAGAGGCAGAGGTGGAAGAGGGAGGAAGAGGCAGAGGTGGGAGGAAGAGGCAGAGGTGGGAGAGGGAGGAAAAGGCAGAGGTCGGAAAGCAGCAGTAAGGAAGGATAGAATTGCAATGATCTCCAACCAGCCATGTTAAAGTTTGCCTCCAGACTATTTGGATCTGTGAGAGTGTATGAGTCGTTGGGATAATCCATCTTGAAAACAAGTATAACACAGCAGAAGCATGAGGATGAGGATGAGCGGGGGGGCAGGAGGAGGAGGAGGGGCAGGGGAAGAAGCGGTGAAAGGAGCGGGAGCAGCAGCGGGAAACAAGAATTCTTTCCTTTGGCTAGGATGGTTTGATAACATGCCGTAGCTTCTTCCACCTTTCCCAGCAACAGCTTGACTGATCCCATCAGGTTTACAGCTGCTGCTATCTCTGAATCCTCCTTGAGGATGTTCTCCACTGATCGTTCATGTCAATGCTTCCCTCTCGTCGCTCCCTCGCTCCCTCGCTCCCTCTCCCACTCTCTTCCCCCCATCGTCTCTCCGTCCCCCGCTGTCTCTGGATGACTCACACAGCAGTTCTGCTTGGTGGTAGAGCTCTGCGCGCTAGTCAGTCGCGATCACTGGCATGAAGAGGCTTCACTCTGCTCAACAAGGTTGAAAGCGACTTTGATCGGTCCCCCGTGAACCGAAAACTCCTGAAGAGAGGAAAAGACAAATTCAGGCAAGACAGAGAACGGTGAGGAGTTTTGACATATCTACACAATAAGAATGGACAAGAAACATAATAAGAATGGACAAGAAACATTGAAACACAAACAAGAAGGATACAAACAACGCGGAGTCAATGACAGTGCAACTGGTTTGATCAGATAAACCAAGAAGAACAACATGGAAATCTAATCGAGCAAATCAACATGGTTGTTTACAGGACCATCAAATCTTTGTTTCATCACCAGAGGCTTCTGAGTGCTCCTTGTCTTGTCCTCAGTCTTCTTTTGCATCCTCATATTTGTTGGCCTTGCCCCCATCCTTTCCTGTGCACGTCCACCACTTCCACCACAGCCTCCTCCTCCTCCTCCTCCTCCTCTGTCACCGCTTCCTCCTCCTCTGTTTCTTCTCCGTCTTCCTCCTGCCCTACTGACTTCCCGTCCTCTGTCTTGCTCTTCAACTTCTCTGCTCCTCTCAAGGCGCTCGCGTCACTTGCTGTTCTCGTGTCGACGATCCGCTGGTTCTACTTCACCTGCGACCGACGAGTTTGTCAGCGAGCATTCGCATCCTCTCCTCTGCTCTCAGACTCCTCTTTCCTTTTCTCTCCTCCCTCCTCCCTCCCTACGACCATCCCTCTCTTCTCCCGCTCTCCCAAGTTCACTATTACAAGCTCTCTCCCATTGTCTGACGGCGACCTAGGGAGAGGGATCAGAAGCAGGGAGAGGATGGGAGAGGATTGGATCAAAG